GGACAAGGGGGCACTACTATAAACTCTTTAACTTTTTTTCTCTTTACTTCTGTTTTTTCTTAGCTGAAGTAGGTTTATTGACTTACTGGCATCTTTTTAAAATATAGTTTTTCTTGAAGGAGAAGATTGGTTTAGTTTGTGGCTAACACGGAAGAGTTTAGCTAAAAGCTACTCCTTGTCCCCCTCCCATCTAGAATTTTTTCTTTTAATATCTCAGGGTCTAAGGTGTCTCTTTTCCTCTTTTTTAAACTGAGGAGGGGAAAGAAAAATTTATAAAGCTTTTATTTTTTAGGGAAGGGTTAAAAGTTTGAATTCCCAGGGATGGCTCGATGCCCAGACTCCAGCTCCCACACGACTGGGCACCTTGCGGCTCCCCCGCTCCTCCTTCTTTACGGTGGAATTGCTGATAAACGGCTGCTGTTTTTTTCTCTCTTCCTCTTGGGAGAGAAATTCTGGGGGGGAATGGAGACATTTTGGATTTCTTCTACTTTCCTATCTGCAGGGGCTAGAGTGGTTCTAGTCTTTCTACTCTTTGGCCTACCTCAGTCAGGCCATGTGCCTTCCCCAGCCACGGGCTGGGCAGGGGAGAGCACAGCACTGCGTGCTGATTGGAACTAAAGAGAGTGAGTTTTTTTGGGAATTCTGCTTTTAACCCCTCTGTGTTCTTAGAGGCGTGTCTATCTTCAATTGGTCAATATCTTAATTGACCTCTTCCTTCTAGAAAATTTTTTTTTCCATGTCAAACCACGACAATTGTCCTCTCTTTCTGTTCCAGATCCCAGGGGCCCTGCACAAAATGGTCAGCAACAAACTGCTGGCCCTGCAGAAAGGGCAGGATCCCAGCAAGATACCAGGTAACTCTGCACACTGAGCTTTGCAATCTTGCCGTGCCCCAAAAGGAGAAATGCCTGATGCAAAAAAAGGTTGTAACACTGTGAGCTAAAGGAGGATGGGTCCCTGGAATCTCGAGGGTGGGTGGAGTGTGGTGATAATCCTCTCAACGTCTCCCCTTTCCTTTCAGGTTTTACCTTTTGCCAAAAGCTTGATGAAAGAGAGTATCGCTCCAACACAGAGAAGACCACGAGAGATGAGCTATTATCTCTACTAAAAGCTATTGATGAAGATGCAAAGCTCTCTGACAAAGAGAGGAAGAGGCTGCTAGATCAGTTTCATAGTAGTAATCCAAGTATTTTTATGCAGTATTTTGGAGACAGAGTTACTAATATGTGTAAATATTGATTGCTTTGTATACCCCAGCAGTGAAAACACTAATATATTTGTAAATCTTTTATATTCATGTATCTGCCTAATAAAATTATTTTGTGGAAACTGATGGAATTTATGCAATTATTACCAAAGCAAACAGTACCTGAGTTTAACCTGTATTTATAGGTTAGCTTTTCTCATTCTTAATTGCTATAAGACCAAAATAGTACTTCCCCAGAAGCCAAGTACTCCCTCTATTGAAGTTGAGTCCCTCAATTTGAGTCTCAAAATCACTGAGAGGGAAGACACCATGAATGAAATCTCTTTGGCACCTTTTGCTCCATCACTGAATTTTATGCTTTTTTTTTATTTCCTAATTTGCCTTGGATTATGTGACTATCACATAACATTGATCTTTGGCTTGCTGTGTGCTGGAGAGAGCTTGAAAAACATATTCTGCTTGATACTGCACAGCTTTTCTTCAGGCTTGCCAGCTAACTAACCTATGTGTGTGACATTATTGTGCTGTTTTAAGCTCAAATGACACCATATTGAGGAATTTGCTCTCCTGGGGTGGTAAAGTCAGTCTGGATTTTGAAGTCAGTCTGGCTTTGGTTGCCACAGGATGTACTGTTAGTGGCTGGTTATCTTCATCCCTGCAGGGTTTTGCTCTGTCTGTAACTTGTACTGATGGCACCAGCTGTAATTAGAAAAATGCTGGAGCAAAGAAAGGGCCTTTGGCTTTTCTTGTGGCATTTCTTATTCATGTCTGGTCTATAGTGGAAATACCAAGATTTGCAACTCAGGCTACTCCAATAATATATATTTATGTATATATTACATGATCAGACATCTAATTGTGACTCTTGTGGAGTTATCTTTGGAATGATGTCACCAAAACTTCATTACAGCTGCTGTTGGAAAAAAAATACCAACCAAATTTTGTTCCGTTTAAAGTGTTGAGCTCTGTTCTTTTATTTAGGAGCAAAAGCTAATTTAATTATGATAACAAAATAGTAATAACTGTTACAGTCACATGTGGTGAGCTGTTCTTAAAAAGCACAACCCTGTGTCAGACTCATGTCTCACTAGCTAATGCTTCAGTGATTACCAGTGTCTGCTGCCAGGGGCCAGAGAGTTTCTCTGAAATGGAGCCGAAGGACTTGGTGTGCAACGGGACGATGTTTTACTGTGTCCTGATGGGAGATGGAGGACAAAAATGTAAAAACCTTCTAGTTTAATTAGAAAGGACTTCTAAAAAACGATCAGTTTCTGAAAGCTAGCAGGGAAGCATAGGCCTTTATAGTAGTTATAGTTCATAGTTTTAAAGGAAAGGTTTTTATTATGAATGCACTTCCTCAGAAAAATTGTCTTAGCTCATAGTTTAAGATCTGGGAGTGGAAATCCTAAGTTAATGATGGTGTTGGATTGGTTTGCTCTTCAGCAGAAGTATTTTCCCTTTCTGCCTCCTGCCTGCTGTAACACCTGGGTTAGGAGGATGCGATTCGTGCCCGGGAACGGAGCTGTTCCCTGCGGGCACGGCCCGGGCAGTGCCAGGTCCTGCCCCGAGAGCCGCGGGCCTGGCGCTCGAAGGCGGGCACGAGGCAGGGGCAGCGCCTCCTCCTCTTTTAGGGTGATTGCGGGAATCCCAGATCCCTCTTTGGAGGAACTGGCGGTGCACTGTGACCTGTGTAAGGTGCCTAAGGACAGCAAGGGCGATCCAGGACCGCGCTCCCTGGTTGATCTGAACCAGCGCTGTGTGATGGGGCAGACCCCGATCCATCCATCCATCCATCCATCCATCCATCCATCCATCCATCCATCCATCCACCCATCCACCCATCCATCCATCCACCCGTGCCCGGCCGCGGGGCGCCCTGCCGGGGCCGGGCCGCGCTCCCCGCCGGCCGTGCCCCGGGGCCGGGACCCGTCGGCCGCGGGCCGAGCCGGGCCGGCCCCGCCCCGGAGCCGCCGCGGCCCGCCCCGCGCCGGGGAGCGGCGCCGGCCCAGCCGCGCTCCGCGGCCGCGGGCGGGGCCGGGCCCGTCCGAGCCGGCGGCCGCGGCGGCGCCGGGCGCGGTAAGGCGGGGCGGCCCGGGGCGGAGGGCGGCGGGGCCGGGCCGGGCGGGCTCAGCTCGCCCCGTTCGGCCGGCGAGCCGCGGCCCCCGGGCTCGTTCTCCCCCTCAGCCCGCTGGTGGGCCCCGAGCTCCCGGGCCGTGCGGAGGGGAAATGCGGCCGGAGCGGCGGCGCTGCTGCCGGGCCCGCGGGGATGGGGCCGGGGCCGGGTGAGCCGCTGGTGCGGATGGAGCTGGCAGGGCCTCACTCGGAACGGGCGGCCGAGGGAAGGGCGGAATTGCACGGCATCCCTTCTGATGGGGGGGACGGGCCGCGGCTTGCCTGCTGCTGGGATGCAGGGAAAGGGGGTTGTGGGGACACGGGGAGGAGCGGAGTTGTGCCCGGGGAAAGGCAGCCGGGAGTGTTGGGCCGGAGCTCAGGGCAGCCGCCAGCGCCGTGGGACACGCTGGGGCAGCGCTGCGAGCGAGGGGCTGCTGCTGCTCCGGCCTCCTTCCAGCGCAGCGCGGGGCCGGTTGTTTCGTGCTGCTGCCCATCACGCAGTTTGATGACCTGTAATGAAGAGAAGCTGTTGGAAAATGTTTTGTTTAGATTTTAATTTTGTTGCATTTTCCTCTTGCGTTTCTGTTCTCGTTAAAAATAAATGCGAGGAAAGTGTCAAGTAGACTTTGCTCTGTTAAGAGCTGGAATTGTTTCTGTGAAAGGAGGGGTGACGGTCATGCTTCTGGAAGAGGTATTGTCAAGCTTATTTACTCAGTGGAGAGAGGATATGTTCTAGATGTGTTCTGGCAATAATAGCAGTAATCCATCAGAAAAGAGCAGACTATTGCAAACTAAACAACTAAACCAACAAGTGTGCTTGTTTACCTCATCTGCTGAACAGTCATTTCGTAGAAAGGCCCAGGAGTTTTAATACCTGCCCTCCATAGCTGAAATAGGATTTTTGTAAAACAAATGGTAATGAAATGAAACTTGGGCTGGGTTTGAGACTGTAGCTCTTGAACTGTTATTTTATGGAAGGCAACACTTTAGGGTGTAGTCTGCGTGGTAGGAATGATGACCTGCTGGGCAAAGCTGGGGCTAGGAATCATCAGACTGATGGTCTTGTCCCTGTCATTTATCTTCTGCGCGTCCTCAAGTAACTGAACTCAAACCTCAGTTTCCCCTCTGTAAGTGAGGTTTATTATATTTCTCTGCTTTTCTCAGGGTGGTGAGGATAAAGTGCAGCGAGAGATTGCAAGGTACTAGGAATTGTTGTGTGCATTAAAGACTTAAGTGGGGCTTAGTGGAGTCATCTTTGTGGTTCAGATTTGACTTCAGGAGGATGCTTGGTGGAAGAGAATGGATGAGAAGAACAACCATCTAGTCTGGAATGAGTGCGGAAGCCTCTGTGATAATGCTTTTATCCTAGCCAAATTCAACAACAGGTTTCTCTCTCTCTTTAACCAGTCCTGTTTTATATTTTATATTGGAATGGTTGCTATGCTCTTCTCTGTGAACAGCCCCTTTATTAACAGAGCTTCTCATCCTCCATCTGGAGGTGGAGCGAGTCTAACAGTACCTCTGCTGATGCCTGTGTGCTGAGGGTGTTCTCCTGTGTTATTCGTCCCAAGCTTTTCATGCTGCTTTCTCCTCTAAAATAGAAATGACACAGTGCTGTGGGCAAGTGTTGCATGCTGTTGTCTCTCAGGCATCAAGCAAGATGATGATCCTGAGTCATTGCTGTAGAGCAGAACTGTTCCTTACATGCCCTGAGCTTTCCAGCTGTCCTGAGGAATCACACTGTGCAATCAATTTAAGCACTGGTAGAGCAGGGTTAGTTATTACATCTGTTGTATGAAAATAAATATCAGTGCTGTATTTTATATTTCTTCACTGTTGCTTGCTTCTGCTGCATCCTCTTCAGTGTAGTTGTATTTTCTCTTAGTAGCTGTGAGGTGCCTCTCATGCTAATAACTTGATTTCTTTCAAAATGTGAAAGTGGAGATGGTGGGATACTAGGGGGAAGAGGAAGTTGTTGTTTTTCCAGGAGCTTTCTTTTATTTTTGAAAGCAGACCATTCTGGGCTCTCACTTCACAGAACATCTAAGTTATTTAATTTAGATACATCACATGCTCTCAAAGAGATTCCTGTAAAATTAAAGCCTGAGCAGCAGCTTCCTGTGTGATAGTTTTCAATGGTGGATTTAGAAATTACATTCTTGATAGGGAAATCTGAGAATGAAGTAAGTGAAGGAACCAAATGAGACTTGGTTTTCTACTGGCAATTTTTTCAGTGTAATTTTGGGTACCCTGCAGGTGTCTGCAATGTGATATAAATATCCTTTAATATGTAATGTCTAATAAACCAGGATTTTAATTACTGTAACTGTTCTTTACTGTCTTAATTAAAAAACACAAACAACTGTGATATTTTGTGCATAAATCAGGACTCTTGAATGTAATGAAAATATGGGAACAGAATTTTATATTAATTTCTCTCTAGTTCTTCTGCTGTTTCTTAATGCTTTTGGCTCAGAGGGAAGTTTTTAAGTTGGGGCAGACCATAGTTCAGGAATATGTTATAGAATATAACAAGAAGATTTATTGCTGTGTAGTAAGGAATTGTCTCATAATCTTTTGTAAAACATGTTTGTGACATTGTTCTGAAGGTGTTTTTCGCCACTCTCTTAAAAGCAGTGCTAGGAGCAAAAACAGTGTCTTTTTCTCTCATCTGTATCATTATGGCAAGGGAACAGTTTGAAATTTTTGAGAACTGACTAGGACTGCAGATTAAATAAATGCTAGCTGTGTTGAAAGCATCCCATTTTGTGAAAGATGGGAAGTGAGTCACTGAATCCAGGTCCCCTGCCATTATAGGGATGACATCATACAACTCCTCTTAGGAATTCTTTCATTCTTAATTTTTTCTCTTAATCAAGAGGACTTCTGGTGATGTTTACCCCCTCAGTCATGTCAGAAAATGCTTATTCATTCCCTTTTTCATATTTTTTCTTTTTGTAAAGAACCAACTGAAAATGTCTCAGAATCCTGACAAGCTAAATGCAAGTGACGAAAAGTTGAGTGGTTTGGAAGATGATGAGGAGGAGAACTTGGAGAACTCGGATCAGTCTGTTCGAAAAAGAATACGACAGAGTGCTCCAGGGTCACACAGAGATGATACACCAAAGTGTAAGCAAAACTGCTTTATGAAATACAGCAAAAAATAGCCAATTCTCTAATTGTTGTTGGAGCAATCATAGTGTTTTATAGCGTTCTGTGCAAGTTTGAGTGTCTTGCAATTAAATACAGTGTGACTCTTGATGTTATGCCTTGAAACTGTAACACTTTTCTCCCGGTTTTCTTTTTATTTTCCTAATTGTACACACAGTATGCACATTTTCTTAATTGTACACAATGATCACATGTATACTAAATATCCTGGTGTGTTTGTGCTCTTGGAATGTATGAACACCACCCCAGTGTGTTCCAGCTAAACTGACTCTGCTGTTTGCCTTATCAGCTGAACCTTCTGCATTGCTCTGTTCCTACTGCAGGGCAGAAAAGGCTGTTATCAACAAAGGGATGTCCTGTCAGCCCCCTCACAAGATAGATGGAAAGTTTTGTATTTAATCCTAATACTACTTCCATATAAACAGGACTGCATATTTTTTCCAAGGCATATTTTTCTTTGCCATTCTGCTTTTAACATGAAGGTCTGGATGTAATATGGGAGCCAGTATTTCTGGCAAATCTGTAGATAAAACCAAAGGGAAGTTTTCTGGCTCCAGAGATTCAGTTCAAAGAAGCAGAATTGCTCAGAGTTACAGATTTCTGTAGGGAGTAACATTTTGTTTGTTGCATTCTTTTTATTTTTTTGTTGTGTTCAGTGTCGTGTTACTCAGAGATGTTCTGAGGGAGTTTCTGTTCCCATGCCTTGCTGGATGCCTGGTAGGAAATGGGTGTTTGTATGGAGAGAGGCTCTGAACATGGGGAAGTAAAAATCATGGCACAGTCTAGCAGTGCACCACAAAGAGGTGGTTTGGTCTCAAGCCCTGCCCTCATGTAAGAGAGCAGGTATGAGAATGAAATGATATGATTTAGGAGCAATCTTTGGCCAGTGAAAGAGTCTTTGCTCTTAGAGCCGCCAGTGCTGAAGTCATTTGGCACTCAGACAAGAGCGCTGTGAACTTTGCTGCGTGCTGCTTCTTCTCAGAATATCAATCCTTGCTGTGTTCCCAGAGTCACTCTGCCAAGTTAAGCTCCAGGCAGAAGGAAATTAGGGTTTAGGAGGGCTGCATGGAAAGAGCAACATATTAATGAAAAACGAGCACATTGGACCTCAACTGTATGAACTCAGAAGAGCTCTGCATGGCAGACAAGTAGTGGACACTTCCCTTTGAAAGACCTTTTCAGTGTAATTACTTAAGTCCAATCAACATGGATTATCAAATGAGATGGTCCTAGTTTGCCTGAAACATTTCTCAGGGAACCCAGCTATGAAGATCCCTGCTTGGTTTCTTTCACTTTTGGGATTAATGTGTTGCTCCTGTGCCTGGGCTGTAGCTGAAGTGAATGAACTAGAGAATGGAATGGATCCATCAGGGCACCAACCCTGTCACTAACCTAGAGCCCAGTTTGAGGCTGCTGGCCCATCCTGGTCAGTCCCAAATGCCTGCCAGGGGAACAGCTCTCAAGCATTGGTGGTGCCACTGCTGCTGCTGCTGTCCTCTGTTGTTTGGGTGATGGCCTCTGGGGGAAAAAAAGAGTTTGGAGGAGTGCCATTTGCATTGGAAGTAGTGAGAATAATTAGCTACTGGTGTGCTGCTGCTTAACAGTGATGGCAATTGTTTGTTGACTGCTTTAATGATGAAATCACTTCCTTGAAAAATGTAAAACTGAAATGGCAATATGCACAATACTTGTGGAAGTGGTATGGTGAAAATGTTGCTGTTTGTAATTATTTCCTTCTACAGTGTAGAGAAAGATGCCAAGGTGCTATTAAACCATCCTAAAGAAGTATTGGTTTGTGTGGGGGGTGTTTGGAGATGGGTTTTAAAAGAGCTTGATAGAAGCAATTGACTGCTGAGCCCAGAATATCCACTGGGATTCACTCCTTGTTTTTTTGAAGTACTCCAAACATGCGTCATCCACAGAATGGGAAAGGAGAAGAATCTTCAGCTGATGCTGTCATTTGACCCTGAGTACTATCAATAAGGTGGAAAGTGTCCAAAAGACTCTTTCTGCAGGCTTTTGTTGAGAGCTGTCTGACAGTGTAATTGGTGTTACAGCCAGTCCCTCTCGGCCTGTGTCCATAGAAGAGCTCATGGAGACAGCAAAGGGAGTCACCAACATGGCACTGGCACATGAAATTGTGGTGAATGGAGACTTCCAGATAAAACCAGCTGAATTGCCAGAACACAGGTAAGGTTGGTGCCAAATACTAAATAAAATTGTGTTTGTAGAGCTGCAGAGCAGCTCTGGGGGTTCAGGTAAAGGCTCTGGCTGGTGCCTTGTCTGGCAGTGCCTGGGAGGAGGTAGGAAAGAATAGAAGACGGTGGTAACTATGAAGTTCTGCTTCCCAAGATATGTGTGTGTGAAAGGAGAACCTCTTGGATTAATTGGAGATGTGTGGTGCAAACCCCAGAGTGCTGTGGTTTCTGTTGTGTCCCCTTGTCCCAGGACTCAGAGGCTGCAGCCTTCCCAGTGCCCCAGTCTGGCTGCAGATGTAGGTAATGCTTTTAGCAATTTTGAAGCTTTCATTGCCTGTGGGAGTAAGAGGAAACTGATTATTTTAGCTTTTCCTGTCTGTTTCTTCAGGGGTATTTTGGGAAGAGATTCCTGTGTTTTATTAGGTTAGTCCTTGCTCCTTTCAAGTTCGAAGCCTTTCCTTCTCTGTGTGAGTCTGCAGTAATTGTGTGCCCTGCTGAGAGGGGAGAGGGAGAGCAGAGGAAGCTCCATCCTCTGTTCCTCTCTCTCACACACACAGTGAGGTGTGGCTGACAGCTTCCTGGCTTGATTTGGGGAAGGGGGTACATATTTCATGGAGGGAACTTGGTCCCCACTGGGGCCACTGCTGAACTTAGACTTGGTGTGAACAGGAACTGTCGGTATTTTGAGATAGGAATTGGTACTGAAGCAGTGGAATTCCTTTATTTTTTGCATACAAACTGATCTGGGCCCTTATCTCAGAGTATTTTGAGATAGGAATTGGTACTGAAACAGTGGAATTCATTTATTTTTTGTATACAAACTGATCTGGGCCCTTACCTCAGAGTAGGTGCAATACTTAGGTAGTGAAACAGAAGATTTTGTGTCAGGGAAGTTACTTCATTTCTTTTAGGTTTGCTACTAATTTTATTAGTGGAATTGATTTTACTTAGTGGGGCCTTTAAAAGGAACATGAATACTTGTCTTTTGAAGACAAAATGTAATTTTTGCCATTTTTGTTTTGGTCCAGTTTTCTAGATGTAGCACGTGATAAATACTTTGAAGGGTTTTACTTTGTAGCTGCCTTTGCTGGTGTGTAATCTTGTATTAGGACATAAACCATTCCAAATCCTGTGTCCAGTTTTTCTTGCTTTTCTGGGTAATTTTAAATGATGGATCTCTGTTAATCATCATATAGTTACTATTGCATTATATTCATATTATTACATGCTGTGCTTCAGGAGCTGCAGGTTATCTGTAAGGTGGTGCAGAAACCAGTATCATTCCTTATAACATGTTTATTCACAGCTTAGAGAAGAAAGTCAGAGATATTGTGCATAAAGCTTTCTGGGATTGTCTGGAAGCTCAGCTAAAGGAAGACCCCCCGACATATGATCACGCAATTAAGCTTTTGGGAGAAATTAAAGAGGTAAGATGATCTGATATGAAGGGAAATGATTGAATTTGATATGAATGAACAGAAGTGGTTGGAGTTTGGCTTTTCATAAAAAATCCTCTTGTTCTTTTTCATTCCTGTGAACATACACAAGCTGTATAATCCAGGAGGAGAAATTTGAATATAAAACCAAATGCAAAACCATGTAAGGTGATTTAACAGGTAAGCAATACCAGTTCCATAATTCCAAGCTTCCTTCATGTTATGGCACTGGTATTAGGTATGGAATCAGTGAGATGCTCCAACACTGGGCTGATGAAACCAAGCACACCAGTCTGAATTATGATCTGTGCCACAGAGGATTTACCACTTAGTAATTTCAGTATCACACAGGTGGAACACTTGGAGTTGGTGGGTGGTTGGTTAAAAAAAAAAACAACAAACAAAAAGGGAAATTTAATTATTTAGTTGATTAGATAAGAATCCTTGGTAGTGTTCAAGCCCTGGTTGATGGGGCATTAAGCAAACTGGTTTAGTTGGAGGTGACTCTGCCTGTGGCAGGAGTTTGGAACCAGGTGATCTTTAAGATCTCTCCTGACCCAAACCATTCTATGATTCTATAATTCTGCTTGGATCCTTGTAGTCTTTGATGTAGAACTAATGCACTGTTCACTTTCTATTTCAGAGTCTTCTGTCTTTCTTATTGCCTGGTCATACTAGACTGAGAAGCCAGATTACAGAAGTTCTTGACCTGGATTTGATAAAACAGGAGGCAGAGAATGGGGCCCTTGACATTTCTAAGTTGGTCAAATTTGTTATTGGGATGATGGGGACTCTCTGTGCTCCAGCTCGAGATGAAGACATTAAGAAACTGAAAGATATTAATGAAATAGTTCCTCTTTTCAGGTACTGAAATGTATTTGTTAGTCATGTTCAGAGTCTCTTAAATAATTTTAGAACTGGAGGGGGCAGCTTAAGACTCCTAGAAAGAAAAGAGTGATAGGGAAAAGGATGTAGCTGTGGGTGTGAAAGGGGAGAGATGCTCCAGGAGTCATTATCAAGGACCATCTCTGATCTAGTGAGTTGGAGTATTTGTCTGGCTCCTGCATGTCACTGAAGGACATTTGCTTAAATGTCAAATGCAAATAAGCTGCAAGGTAGCTGATGAATAGTCAGTTCGTATCAGAATTGAATGTCAACAGCAGAAGATGAAAAAGGCACACAAGGGTTTGGGGAAAAGCATTGCTCTTTTCCCACCAGTTTGTCCTTTCCTCCCAGTCTGAGCTCTCTTCACCCCAGTCCCTGTGTAATTCCCTGTCTGTTCCAAAGGGAGTATGTGTTCCACATCTGAGAGCATCCAGGCTTCTGCTTTGTCACCATGTTCTCAGTGGAACAGCTCAAGGTCTCAATAGTTGAGAGAAGCTTCATTAACCTTGCTGTTTTCTAATTTGAAAGCTTCCAGGAGTTCAGGATTGACTTGGCAGAAATACTGCCAGCAGGAATTAGGTTGCTTTGAAATTAAGGTGTTTTATTTTGGTGTTTGTTTGTTTGTTTTTTCTTTTTTGCCCCTCGGGTCTGATTATTCACTTCCCACTGGGGTTGGCTTTCCAGGCTTTCAACAGCCATGGCCTGCAAGCTTGGAAACCCAGATGTCTTTTCATATACAATACTGCACATCCTGGGAGATAAAATCTATGGAGCTAGTGAAGTTAATTCCATGGAGGCTTTTTTACAGGAGAGTAGGATTTGTTTCCCACTTGGAAGAGGCACATGCATGCATGTACATGCTTGTTCCAGCTTTCTCTGTCTCATGTTCTGAAGTTGTTAAGCTGTTACTGTTTCCCATGCATGTTTTTGCTCTTTCTTTAGACAACCTGTAATAAATCTTGTAAACAGCACCTCGGAAACATCTGCAGCCTTGAATAACTTTTTCTGTTTGTTTATTTAGAGCAATTTTCTCTGTATTAGACCTAATGAAAATGGATATGGCAAACTTCGCTGTCAGTAGTATTAGGCCAAAATTAATGCAGCAGTCTGCTGAATATGAAAGAAAGAAGTTTCAGGAGTTTCTTGAGAAACAGCCAAGTATGACTTTGTTCCTTTCTTTCTTCCCCCCTGACCTCCCAGTAAACTGCGTGTCTTTGCTTGTAGATTATGAAAAGAACTCAGATATTTTTATAAGTTCTAGAATTCCTATGATAAATGACAGCTTGTGCCCCAAAACTGTGGTTAGAAAAAATCTGCCAGAACAATAGTTCTGCCTTTGGTATGTTCAGTTTAATTTCAGTACAGTGTAGGGCATGATTACCTAGCATCATCTCACCTCTGATTTCCTGTAGCTGTGTGGTTTTGTTTTAGGTGTTCTGCTTGATGCAATAAATGAAATGCATGTCATACCTGATATCATGGGCATTAGTCATAGTAACTAATGGGATTGTTTGGAAATTATCGATGGAAAAACCTGGTTGTGGAATTTTCTTAACAAGATTTTTTTTCTCCGCTCTTCCAGATTCTTTGGACTTTGTCACCAAGTGGTTGCAAGAAGCAGCAGATGATCTTGCAAAGCTGGGACATGAAATGTTGCCTCTCCACTGTAGTGATGCCACTGGTGGAGCTTCTGCCTTGTGCTTCACTGCTGTACAAAACCAGGCCTATCTGAAGCTTCTGAAGTGGGATCACGTGAACAGGCCTTTTCCAGAAGTAGGTATTTAACAGAAAAATTGGTTCTGTGTTTGTTCCACTCCTCTGTTCCCAGGACACAGCAGAAGCTGTTTGAATTTGTAGCCTGGCAACACATACAGAGCTAAACCATTGATCTCTGATTGGGAGATGGGGCAGCTCTAACAGGTGCCTGTCTTTCAGTGCTGGAGCCTGCTTAGCTGGGAAAGAGGAGCCAGGGATTTCACTGTGCTCCTGTTGCTGGTTGCTGTTCCCTGTGCCTTTGCTGCTGCACCCCAGTGTCCCCTGCCAGCCCTGCAGACTGACTCCCTGTTGTGCTGGCTCCCTCCCTCCTTGCAGACGCTGCTCATGGACCAGACACGCTTCCTGGAGATGCAGCTGGAGCTGGAGCAGCTCGTGGTGGTGGGGACAGTGCTGCTGGTCACGTTCAGTGCAGCAGGCCCAGCTCTCATCGATGTGCCTGGATTCACCGAGAGGATCAAAACCATCGTCAGGGTGCTGCTGACGGGAATGCATCTCCCGTGAGTATGGCACCTCCTGCTCTCAGGGGCACGTGGAGCTCTCTTGTCACCCTGGGAAATGATCAGGTTAAGCCAGTTTAAGGCTGGGGACTGCAGGAAATGCAGAGGAAATGACGAGGGCTTTTTGTGAGCCCAGGCTGACATTTTTTCTTCAGTTAACTCACACAGAGCTGTCTTTTCTTGGTCTGCTGATTCATGGTTTATACAAGCTGCTCTTTTCGGCGCGTGCTTTTCACGGTGCCAGCAGCTGCCCCTGCTCAGAGCTTGGGCCAGGCTCCCCAAAAACCTGAGTGTGGCACAGTAAGCTGCCTGCAGATTTAGTGATTGCTTTACACCTGTGGGTTTTGATTTAGTCAGAGCTGTCCTCAGGCAGAAACTCAGCTCTTATGTGTGTGGATTGTTCAGCCTTGAAGTCCTGAATGTTCTCCTACTTTCTTGCTTTAGATCTTAGCTTTATTTTTCATGTATATACAATTGTATTAATCTTTATAATTGGCTTTATCTGCATTATGCTTTTTCCACTACATTTGATAAGTAAGGCAACTCTAATTGAATGGTTTATTTTTAGAAAGTTGGAAAACAGTGATGTTTTAATACCTTATGTTTTCTAGCTCCTTTAACCTGAAGGAATCCCTGGCCACTGTGGGCGAGAAGGTGTGTGCTGAAGTGAACAGCTGCCTTTCCCAGCATGGCTTCACCCCGTTCTCAGCTGAGAGGGAGGCTGTGCTGAAGGGACAGATCCAGGCAGTGGCCAGCCCGGAGAACTCCATCTGCAAGCTCATAGGTAGGTCTGCAGAGTGCTCTGCTCTCCCTGTCTGTGGAACTGGGGCTGGGGGATGTGCAGGGCTCCTCTTTCCCTGTTGTTTCCACATTGTTTCCATGTTTTTTCCATGTTGTCTTTCCAACTTGCTAACCACATTCAGGCTTATTGCATTTTACATGAGGTTACACTGTCTCTAATTCACCATCTCTTTTGAAAACAAACCAAACCCCTTTTTTTCCAGATTCTCGAATTCAAAAGTTTCTGGACAATTATCTTGCATCCAGTCATCAGAAATCATTGCCTGCCATTCCTGGAGGATTAGGCCCCATTCAGAGGGAGCTGGAGGAGATTGCTGCCAAGTACATTCGTCTTGTCACCTACAACAGAATGGTCTTCAGCCCTTACTATGATGCAGTCCTTGGCAAAATACTGACTAAGGAAGAATCCCAAATTGTAGGGAAGTCAGAAGAATCATAAAAAAACCAGTCTGTGTGCTACCAATACAGTATTGTCAGCTATTAAATAAAACTTCTACCAATATTTGTCTAGGAAAACAGCTTTCCGTGTAAATACTGGTTCCTTTTAACCCTTGAGTGCTGACTGGTGAGGGAAATAGAGGAGATGCAGAAAAGGTTCTGAGGTAAAAGATGAGAGATGCATTTCTAATATAATTATGCAACCTGGGGAAGGGGATATCATGGGAGTCTTCTGGTGGCAATTTTTAGATTTTTGAGCTGGTGATAGGTAGGGCAAGTTTAAGAACCAAACTTTGTATTTAAGTGGCTCATTTCAGGGCATTTAACTCTTAATTTACAGTGAACTTAGTTTAATTTATCCAGAGCTGATTAGCAATGGTTCTTCCCAGAAGGGGTGATTTGGTTTAAAAAAAAAAAAAATATATCTTTCTTTAAAGAATTAATAAAGCTAAAATTCTAAAGAAGAACTTTACCAGACAAAACACCAAGCCAAGCAGCACTTTTCTGTAACATTATGGTGAGTATAGTAGGCTTACTAGTTTTTTCTGTATTTTACTGCATTTTTAATAGCATTTTTTTGATGTTTACCTGCAGATGTTGCAATCTATTTTTGTAGCAACTTTTCTGGTTATTGGGTAACTGTCCTCTGCTATGTACAGTACTCCCAGAAGTGGCAATCTTATAGATTGCAGCTGTATTTATATCTTGTAAAGATTTCAGAAAGGGCAGAGCTAAAACGTTTTGATAAAGTGCCATTTCTTACCTTTTTTTTTTTTTTTGCTAGTAATTTACTCCTTTTTAGGTGAAATACTAATTTTAAAGTAAATTCTCATTTGCAGAAGGTGGATTTAAAGTGTGTGAAACTTTAGGTTGAAAATTTTGGGCTTTTTAAAAACAACAACAGGGTTTGGTTGCATATTCAATCATGTATTCAGAAATATGTGCAGAGATGGTGGGCTGTATAAGTAATTTCAATGTACTGTGAGAGGTGAATGGTTTGATGTTAGTTTGAATGTACAGGGAATATTTTAGTAGATTTTTTTTCACTTTCTAGATGTGTTCTTGAAACTTAGAATATTTGTAGGTCTTGAATTTCATAAGCTACATGTTGTATAGAGAAGAGCCCAGTGATCTTACATTGCAATCTCAGGCTCAGCTGGGAGGTAAGTGAAATTTTCCTCTGGTTGAGCACAACTGTGTATTACAGTAATCAATATTTGATGGTTTTATGAAAGCAAAGTTTGTAGTTACTCACAGTAAGTGGCCCAAGTATGAGGCTGTCCAAACCAGAACGTGCTTGTCTTTAAACAGAACTTGCAGAAACACTTGATTATGATCCACTCTTGATGCTTCCCTTTCCAGTTTCCTTTGAATGTCAGTGTGGATAAAACTGCACCAACTTCGGAGGGGGATGGAAGAAATAAGGCCTTTTTTTCTATATTAGCAACTTTAAACCAAATCTTTTCTTGTTCATGACAAAGCCCCTTCTCCAAGGGAAAAGCCCAGCAAAACCCTGTGAGAGTTCATCAGCTCAGATAAGTGAAAATGTCTGTCTTTGAATCCTTCTTTGAGAACTCAATGAGGTTAGTTAGCCAGGAAAAAAGGGTTCTGAATAGGGTCTATTTCATTGTTTGGATCAGCAAAGGATTCTACAGAGGTCCTCAAGGCTGCTGCCTGAGCTTGCTGGGCTGTGCTGTTAGAGCAGGCTCTGCCTCACATCACAGCCTAAAGCTCTGCAGCTGCACCAGCTCCCTCAGCCTGTGCTGCAGGAGCCACCAGAGCCCAAACTGCTGGAATTGGCACCAAGAGAGATGGCCAAGGTACAGCTGTTTCCAGTTTTCTCAAATGGGAGCTGCCTTTAGAGGCACAGAGTTAGATGAGGTACAGGATGAGCTCGAGGGTGTGGGGAGGAACATCATGGTGAGACAGAAAAGCCCTTGGAAGGTGTGTGACTGATGGCAGAGTGCAGGGCACTGCTTTAGCAGCAGATAAAATCCTAACTGAGGAGATAGACGGCTGCTTCCAGGGCTGGGATTCAGGGCTCAGGGCCCAGGAGTGCCTGCTCCTGACACGGCAGCAGGGACTGTGCTGCCACCGTGATGCTTTTGCTCACAGGGCCACACAGGGATCCCAGCTCTCCGCACAAGATTGATTTGGTCCTAAGCAGAAAGATCCTAGAATGAGGGAACGGAGTGCAGTACTCACCTGTGGCTTCACTCTCACCTCCAGGGCCCTCACTGAAGGAACAAATGCTCCTGGCACAGGTGCTGGGGGCCTTTCAACAGGAAAGAGCTAAAGGAAGTGCAATAAATTCCCACAAGTGCAAGGTAATGACTCTCCCAGGTTATGCATTTTAACGAGAGTGTTTGACAAACAGTTTCTCTACATCCTCTCTAAAAGAAACGGGGAGCTGCAATTGAGTGGCAAAGCAAGGAAGATGTTCCAGGATGAGGCCAGCCCCATCTCCATGTGCAGGTGCTTCACCCTTGCCCTGGCAGAGAGGAGCCCTGGCTCAGGCAGCTGTGCTGGGGTGGGAATGGCTTTCATTTGCCCCAGGCTCTGACAGTCCTGTGGTCCAAGGGGTTCTTAGGATCTTAGCAGAGTCAATCTGATCACAGCCAATTCCAAGTTAAAAGCTGGAGTACGCATAGAAACTGCTTGGAAAGCTCACATAGTGTTTCTTTAGCTTGTTTGAAGATAACACAAGTGCTGATTACAAGCTGATGTAGCTGATTATTAACATTTAGCTTTGTACATGTACGTGGAAGAGCAGTGCAGGTATCCAGGACCAGGCTGTGAGCCAGTGCTCCTGGACCACCCACACTGAACTGAGTTAGTCTTACAATGCTGTCTTCTTCAAACAGCCCTGGAATTACAAGCCAAAGTGTGCTGTATCCTCTAGAAAATGGAAAGCAAGCTCTATTCTAATATGTATGCTCTGATCAATTTCCTGTGATGGTATAATTAGCATTGCTTTTGAAGTGGCTGAGTAATATATAAGAAATACCTTGTTGCGTTTGAATAAAACCAGAATGAGGCATGATGTTATGGATATCCTTTTATTTTAAAGGAATGGTCTTTTGTTGTTGTTTTATTTTTTAAATTTTTAACTACAAAACAGATTCCTTACATTCTGCCATAAATAAAAACGAACAATAAGGCAGGACACTACATGAACAAACAGAACAACTGTTTTCCAGAAAATGTGAATTTCAAATGCTTCACAAGTATAAGCCATCCAGTTTTTAAAATAAAACTGTTGAAAACCCACAAGAGTTCAAGTGGTAGATGTGTACACCCTCGAAGAACAAAATACAGTTTTGACATTTTGCACTTTTGGTTTTGAAAACCGAGTTTTGTTCAGAGCACATTCTAAGGTTGTTCGGGCTGTTTTCAGATCAAGAACCATATGGGAGAAGAGGCACCACAGTAACAAAACCATGTTCAAGGATTTTTTTTGTTTGCAGCTGTCCCTTTTAAATGCTTGACTTTTAAGAGACTGATTCAACGCAAGTCTTTGTCTGTCACAGCAGAACTCCAAACTTGTTTCACCGGATTCTCTTTTGCTGTCGTGCTCTGTAAATGTCATGTACAGGGGGAACTACAGATCCTTTCTCCTCGTCGTCATCAGAATCCTCATGTGATCTCTTCACAGCCTTGTTGAGAATGGTGTTGTTTTCCACAGGTCCATTGCCTTCCACAGCTATTTCAGGCAGGCCGCCTGTGATTATCCGCACGGCTTCGTCAACAGCTTCAGAGACAGACACAGAGCGGCTCAGTGGGGAACCTCCGAGCCCTGGCAGCGACCAGCACCCCAGCAGGGACCCCCACAGACACCTAAGGGACACCTCTGCAACATGAGACACTTCTCCTGCCCTGTTCTACAAATGTGAAGCCTTGGCTGTCTGAAACTCTGAGCTGTGGTGAAGCCAATTAGAAAGGAAATGTTGCTGCTTCAGCTCCAGCCCTCCCTTTACACAGGAATTGAGGTCATTTGGGAGCTGCAATAAAACAGGAAGGCCTTTGGGAATCAGGGTAACTAGTTCATGATTCACCAGAAAGGCTGCAGAGCAGCTTCTGCTTCTCAACAGAGGAAGCCTCAAAAATACCTGTATAATTTAAATAGGTATTTTAGTTTCACTCAAAGAAATTAAATCCTACATTTCTTTTTCTATAATTTTTTTTCCTTAAACTAACAAGGAGGGTGAAGAGTAGCAGATTATTATCTGCTGTAGGATCTGTGCTGTTTCTCTGTTCCACAACTCTCCTTCCCTTCTTTGCAGGAGCTCAGAATGCACTGCCTGCAGCTCATGCCCAGGCACTGCAACAACATGCACTCAGAGTTATCTCTCACCATGCTGCAAATTTGTAATTTCATGTTACAGCTGCAATGCTGCTGGAAATGCTGCCTTTAAAGGTTATTCTCAAAATCTTAATTTCTTTCTTTCAGTTTATACCACCAACACATTAACGAGCAGCTGGTGATTTGTAGTTTTTTGACTTTTTGTTACCTCCCTCCAGGTAAAAGTGCAAATATCTCTATTCAGATTCCAGCACAATCTCTTAAACACTAATTACACTCTGTAAATGAGGTCTGGGCTTTAGACAGCAATATCCATATGTAAACCCAAGTCTCATGCAGCCCTAGTACAGCCTCCAGAGAGGACAAGTAACTTACTGTCTGGCAGTTTGCATCTTCTGAATATCTCCATGAGCTCATCCACTTGAACAAAGGGACCCTGATTTGTTACCAAAGGGGGAAAAAAAAGTTTAGAAGGTTATTTTTAATAGAGTGATACACACTGTGGTTCTATCATGACAGAATGTCTTCCACAGCTTTCTGAAATGTTCAGAGTTCTTTAAAACAAACCTGAAAACAAATAGGAGGTGGCAGAAGCTTCATGAGAACTACAGCTGCTGGTGGAACAGGAAATACCCCGCCTGGGACAGGATGTAAACCTGGAGCTGTGGGGAGAAAAGCTGGGTGAAGCCAATGCAAGACAGCTGGACTAGAGCTGCTTTTGCACTGCATTGTTATTTGACACAAATAATTAGTACCCTGTCCCTTTTCCCTCTACTAATTCCATATTGTTCACTCAGCCATCTGCTCTGTGATGTGTGTAACAGCTTATTTCCATTTACCATACCCCAAACTCCTTGTACTTATTTCTATGTGACCTTGGCATAAATTAAAACACATATGCCTTTAGCAAGCCAGTGAAATGACAGCCTAAGACTTAAGTACAGGTTTAGATGACTGAGGAAGAGGAAAGTACAGGTTTAGATGACTGATTAGGCTGGCTGAACAGCCAGGTTTCTAACTTGCCACAGGTGAAACACAACCACTTCCCAAAGCCTGACTTACGTGCTAAGTGTCTTGGCTGAAATGGAATCATCTGCTGGGTGTCTGGTTTGGGATATTCAGGCTTCCTGTCTACTTCATCCTTGAGAACAGGCACGATGGAAGGTGCAACCACAGGGTCTGGAATTATTGCTGCTAGCTTGGCACGGGAGACATCCTGTGAAAGCCAATTAGAGAGTGCTGAACTTGGCAGGATCACATGGCTTGCTTCAATTACAGGATAAAACCTCACTCTGCACCAGTCACTTAATTCTCACTTTGCCTGCATTCTCATTTCAGATGGCCTCTTACCAGACCATCTGGGCAAAACTTGCATGGTTTCATTAAATATTTTAATCCTACAGCGACCCAGTGGAATGGAATGGAAACACTTGTTTCTGTTACTCAATGGGTGTTTATCATTTTTTGAGCGGCTCCTTTTTTAGGTTAAGAGGATTTAGGTGAACAGGTGCAGACCACTAGGCCTTCACAACTATCATTTCTCCCTCATTTCACTCCCTAGATTGCTTTAGCTGGAAAAGAAGTAAAGCATAAGGCAGTCAGCAGGCATGCAAAGCATCACTTCAAACAGGATTATGTTTTGGCATGTTCCAAGGAGCAGGAATTAGCCCCAGGGCTGCACCATCTTAGGTACACACCGCCCTGCATGCACTTAGCAAAATGTACTTGTTTGTAAGCTCACATCCAACTTCAAAATAACTTTGCCCCCACTACATTCAAAGAAAAGTATTCAGTCGCTTAATGTCAATCTGATTTCCACCTGTCAGATTATTTTACAGCTCTGTGGTGGTCAACAATTCAGCTACTTTGTTAACTTTGATGGCATCTGTATTTTTCATAAATTATTTGTCTGTGGAAGAAGTACGTGGAAGTTGAGGCACCGTTTTAGAGGCACGGATTGAGGGTTCTCTTCCTGTGCATGCAAATGGTAATCAGCTATTTTTTCTTCTCTGGCAAACTTAAAAAAATGTAAACCAACATCCTGTTCTGTTCTAATGATTCTCCAAAATTACAGAAATAGTAAAAATACATGTAGTTAGAAGCAAAACAGGAGATCACCAGATAAGGGGTCGGCCTAGACTTTGAACTCCACATGGCAGCACCAAGGCACCTGAGCCCTAAGAAACAACTGATAAAAGGTGGCCACTGATCCCTGTCAGTAGCCTTCCTCAGCCATTCCCAACAAACATTGGGACTGCAGCATGTGGGTTTTTTTTCCCAATGAAGTCAAGGAAGCTTTGCCACCTCAAAGCAGGAGGACAGCCAGCCATATTTCATATACATGACCTGATCCTACAAATTTCCCACAGAATTGTGGTTCTTGAAGGAGCTCAGATGTGAAGTGGAGGCTGTAGCTGCATGGTGATGGCATTAACACATCAACCTTTCCATGGGAACACAAGAGGTAACCAGGAATACCCAAAATTGCAGTTGTTACTGATGGTCCTGGCTCCTTTCTGCCCTTGGCCCCTGGCACTTGGCTGCCCAATGAGACCAGGAGGAGGAGGAGGAGGAGGAAGAGGAGGAGGAAGAGGAGGAGGAAGAGGCCTGTTTTGCCTGCTTCTCTAGCAAAGGGAAGGACTGTAAGGCAAATTCTAAACAAGGAATTGCCCAAGATTCCTAGGACTGAAAAGAACAACAGTGAACTGTTCTTATGCTCTTACCTTATAACCAAGAGCCTTCAGCTCGCTGGCAGAGCAAGGGTACAGATCCATGAACTTGTACCTGTCCACCAGCAGAGCTGTTTCTTTGCCCTCATATTCTTCCTTGAAGGCTGTAAACCTCCTTTTTTCCACTTTCAGGATGCTGGCCAGATCCCCAATATTACTTTCAAAGGCCAAAAACCGAGCCCAGATTTCCCTGGAACAGAACAAGGCCACTGAGAGTTACTGAAGGAGGAAGGATTACTGAGTACAACCCAGTTAAAAACACACAAGAGGACAGACCCAGACGAGTCTGGAGGGCCACTGCTGTTATTTACTTTAGGTGCATCTAAAATAGGCATTGCCCTCCCAGTGCCTTCTGTATTCCTCTAAGAGCTTTCAGTCTGGTGGACTGCAAAGGAATTTGTTACAGAAAAGAAAGGATTTCTGGTGTCAAGGACTTCAACATTTGAGGTGAGCTTTTATCAAACACTCTGCTCATCCTGTGCACACAGCTTCACTCTGATGTTGATATGGGAAGGACTTTTTACCATGCATTATCATCTAGTTCCTCTGCACCGACCAGTTAGCACATTCTAACTGGCAGTGCTTCAGAATTTTATACAGCCCAAAATATATATAGCTAGTGCTAATTTCTCCATGGAAAATCTCATACATAACTTAAGCAATATCTGACCATGTTTCTCATATTGATTCAACTTTCATTTTGGCTTTGGAGTTCACCTTTGAAGAAGATTCAGCTTTTAAGTTCTCGTGCTTTGTCACTTTTAAATTTGGCATAAAAATATTTCTCACAAAAGATCAGAACTGAAGTGCAGAATGAACGTGCACAGCAGTGCCCTATTTGATTCCTTAGTTTTGATGCTTTTGTCTACCAGAATAATGGTGAAGTGAACCCTCAGACTGCAAGGCTTTGGTGAGCATTATTTTTGAGAAAGAAACTTAAAGAGTAGCAATGAAAATATGGCAGTAAACAGTTAATCCAAGTCCTTTCTGGTTCTTTCCTTATTTTATTTT